TTCCCTCATTTTGTAAGCAAGTACTGGTTTAGTTTCAAAGGATAATATTCTGCGAATCCTAGACACCAAACTAACTAGATGATATCATGCATGTGGAATTAGTCATGAATGTCAATGAAACCCAAAGATCTTGCTTGAACATGGCTATACATAATTGTTTATACAACAAGCTGCACAATTGGTTAGAGCAGGAATCTTTACAAATGGTTATCATGGGTTCTAATCTTGGTCGGTGTGTGAAAGACAATTAACCTTAAATAAGGCAGCTAATTATTCCAGTTGACCCAGCTGTAAAGAGTGAACCTTTGTTGTTATTCTTGTAAAAATGTGTTGTTTCCTTTCATTTGCTGGGATCAGAACATTAAATGAGTATATATTATTATTTATATTGTAGCTATGTAGATTAACAGCAAGTCGTCTGAGTGAATCCCAGTCTATAGATGATATCTGTTCGTGTTCAACACTACACAGTTTACGTGCTGGTAAAGCTCAAGCTACTCTATCAAGATCTACATTATTTCATACTGGTGATGATAGTAATAGATTGATAATATGTGGTGCTGGTAATAATGGTAATGATGAATCTACTGCTACTGTAAGTTCGCCATATTTTAATACCTCTATGATCTTCATTTGTAGTATATGTGAAATGGTGTACATTTTTGTTGCACCTTGACAGGCAATGACAATTACTTGTCACGCGAAGATGAAGTCAGTGGTTCGGACCCTTCCTTGTGCCATTTTGAAAAAAAAGGTTTTCATTGCAAATGCTTTTACTTAAAATGCAGCTAATAATTTTAATGTGAACAAGATTAAAAGATGATGCACAGGCTGCATGTTCAATGACAGTAATTTCAAAAGAGGTTTTCAAGTCATTCCCTTGACTTATTTAATCTTTGACTTATTTGCTGATAATGCTATCACAGTTACCCCAGATTGTCATGATTAAAACAGTATATATGTTTTGATATTGTAGGTTCAAACGTGGGATGGTTTAACTGGTCAACAACTACAGAAGTTACCATGTGGTGGTGTTCCTTTAGACATGTTACCAATTAATATTAATAATACTAAACATCTAGCAGTATTACTAAATACTCAACTTAAAATATACCGATGGCAATGAATGGGTTAAGAAATGGATAAAATGAGTTTAAAGTGCTACAGAGATGGCAAAAAGAGGGTTGAGGCATTGATGGCTATGAGAGAACATTAAGATTTGATTATTGCAATGTGAGGGCATTATGTTTTGATTATGGCAATGAGCTAGGGAGCATTAAGGTTTAATTATGGCATTGT